AACGCAACTAGTATAGGTTGCAATAGACCCTATTAGCGCTTCTAGGAGATATAAGCACTATAATAATAGTAGTTTTAAATATACTACGTAACGTCTCCTAATATTCTATCCTAATAATAGTTATAGCGTAGTATTTAAAATATTATATTCTTTCCTAAGTATCCTACTAAACCTAATTTATATACTTACTATATAATAGTAGTTATAAGGGGTTCCTATATTAGTAACTAAATAACACCCCTCTAGAGTAAAGTGCTATGTGCGCTAATTGCATAGTCCCTAATCTATTACCTTGTATTAGCTAAAACTAGGAAAGACCTAGCGCCTTTCTAAACTATATTAAGATGTACTTAGTATATCTTATTATCTAGTACTGCTTTATCCTATAGTGTCTATATATACAGGTTAGTAAAGAGGCTAGCGCCCTTTAGTAACTTAGACGCCTCCTCTACTTCTAACACTGCAACCTAAATTAATTTAGGGCGCATTACTAACTATAGTATTGCTTTAGAGGAGTTTAAATCTTATAGTTATCTACTTAAGGTATTAGGTTATCCTATAAGATAGCTAGGTCTATACTATAGGATATACTAATATTTTAAAAGTTCCTCTGCCTAGCAGCACTATTATTTACTTAAGCTTTAAAGGCTAGTAAAGTACTCTAAGTTTTTATAGTCTATAAATATTATAAATAGCTTGTAAATACTCTATAACTCTACTAACTAACTTTTAAGATACTTAATAATAGTAAGTAATTCCTTATTATATATAGTATAGTTTTGTCTCTCTAGCGTTAGTATTATAGAGTAGTAAGCAACTAGGCGCTAGACGCCCCTAACTTTTTATAATAAGCAACCCCTAAGAGCGTATCCTAAATAGTCTACTTCTAATAACGTTTCTTTAGCTAGGTCCTATTATATTAATACTAGTCCTAACATAAACGCCTTTTTTAGCATATTAAATGCACTTTATTCTTCCTCTCCCTATTAGAATAGGGTATTCTTTCTAGTTAGTTAGTTTAAAGGTGCTACTACTTTAGAAAACTTTGCGATAAAATCGTAGTAGAAGTTAGTAAAACCTAGAAAACTCCTTACCTCTCTTATATTCCTAGGGGATTCCTATTCCTATACTGCCCTAAGCTTTTTAGGGTTAGGTCTAAGTAATTTGCCCGCCTTAATAATATAGCCTAGGTAGCGTACCTTCTTAATACTAAAAGTATATTTCTCTAAGTCTAGGTATAGTCCTACTTCTTTTAATAGTATAAGTACACACTTTACTTTTTTTATATAGTTAAACTAGTTTCCTCCTAAATAAATTAAGATATTATTAAGGTAGGCTATTATATATAATCTAAGTAACTCTGCAAGCGTAGTATTAATATATTATTAGAAAGTAGATAGTGTACTACTAAGACTAAATAGATATACTAACTATTTATATAACCTAAACTAGGTATAGAAAGTAGTTAAGGACTTATAACCTTCTACTATTCTAACTTTATAAAAGGTAGTACAAATATCCACTTTTATAAACTAATTTATACTAGATAGTATGCGTAAAGTTTCCTTAATAAGTAGTAGTAGGTATTAGTCTAAGGTTATTATACTATTAAGCATCTAGTAGTCTATATATAGACGCTAACTACCTAATAGCTTCTTTACTAGTAATACTAGAGCTCTAGCTATAGAGGAGCTTACTTAGATCTAGCCCTTGTCTATTAATCTAGTAAGTTGTGTTCTTAGTTCTAGTAATTAGTTACGTGATATAGGGTATAGGGGACCCTATAGGGGGTTAGGCTAGGTTCTATCTAGGAGAGTTATTAACTAAATATAGTAATCTATACTACCTTAATAAGGTAGTAAACTACTTACTAACTCTTTATTAAATAGGTCCTTAAACTCTTAAAGTTCTAGTAGCAACTTTATCTTTCTAGTTTTATACTTAGGTTTATAGGAAACTATATTACTAGTAATATAGATAGTGTATATATTAATAGGACTTCCCTTATTAACACTTCCTAGATATTTTATTAGGCGCAAGTTATATATTACTTATAATATATCTAGTATATTTATTATAAAAATTTATACCTATATATCTTCCTATTAGGGTTCTTAATTTAGTAACCCTACTATAACTAAACCTAAGATAATAGAGATATAGGTAGGATACAGGCGTCTCCTGCTCTCTTATACTACTATATTTCTTACCTTCCTAATTATTAATTTGCCTTATAGAATATCTATAATAACGCCCTCTCTATAAAGCTATAGTCTACCTAGTATTAGTTAATAGGAAAGATAAGGTACTATATAAGCTAAAAGCTAAGACCACTAACTATCTAAATTATAGTCTAATGCTACTAACTATATAATTCTTATACCCTTAGCAATTCCCTAGGTATATTATAAGGGTTGCAGGGGAATATTAATAAAGGTCCTACTAATCTATCTTACTAACTTTTCCTTAACTATACTAAAACACTAGCACCCTAAATTAACTATCGCTTGCACGTTCTCTACTCTACCTAGGAGGAGGGGAATAAAGAAGGGAGGATTATTTAACCCTACCTTAATATCTAGGGGATACTTAATAGCCTCTACTATTAATAATTCCTCTATTATAGTGTCCTCCTTATACCCCTAACTTAGCCTAGGGTTAGGGGTAGCTAGTTTCCTAAATTAGGGCCACTTGCTAATACTATAACTATCTTAACACCTACTAGTTATAGTAATAGGGTATTAGGATATACATATATAAAATAACTACCCTATCTATACTAGGTGTAGACCTTTGCTAGTTTCTATATATTAAATAGGTCCTATAGGATCTAGTTAGGATATAATATTAGTAGTTTAGTAGGTGTACTTAATAAGGCTACCACTTCTACTATATTTATATTACTATCCTAATCTAAGGTAGACCTCTACTAGGGTTCCTTAGACTTACTAGCCTAAAGAAACCCTAGTTCTAGAGAGGCTATTTTAATATCTACTATAATTATCTTATATTCCTCTATAGCTATATTATAGTTTATTCTAGAGACTCCCCTATTAAGGGAAACTAAGCGTATATAGCTATTAAGAGATTACTAAAGTTATAAAAGCTTTTATTTATTATCCTAGTATAAACCTCCTAACTATATAAGAAGCTATATAAAATTTATAAAAAACTCTATAAAAGGCTAATTTTAGCCCTAATATAAGTATTCTAACGTAACTTAGGCGCGCTCCTACCTATAGTAGTTACTATAATAGAATACTAGGTAGTTAAGAAACCTGCTTATATCCTAACGCTTATATACACTATCCTTAAAGTATAGTACTATAGCACGCTAGACTATAGGTAATAACTAGGACTAAATATATATAAACCTTGCCTCCTTATCCCTAATAAAGACCTTATCTACACGTAGTTTAAACTCTATAGTTATTTACTAGGAGGAGAAGTTTACCTTAGTACTATTATATAGTAAGCTAACTAGGAAAGGTTTATAATATAAGGCAGGAGAGGGTAGAGGTAGTATATTATTAAACCTAGCAGGCTTAGAGGAGGGTTAGGATAGAATCTAATTACGTATTTCCTTATTCTATTAATATAATATAGCTATTATAGTAGAGTCTTAAGCCTATTATTCTATTAAACTATAGACCTATTATATTAGCCTTTTTACTATATTAGGTTGCACCTAGTTATTCTAAATATCTAGCGCGTCTATCTCTTATTACTATTATAGTATATTTAGAAGAAGATACTAAAATATTATAGACTAGCCTTAAGGGAGAATATAATAAGCGTTAATAATAGTATTTAGTATCTTAAAGGAGAGATAAGCCCTTTACGCCTTTTTATAGGTGTCTAGTGTGTTCGCTTAGTAGTAGTGTTAGACTTGGTCTATCTTGTGTTAGACCTAGGCTTAGGCATAAGCCTAAGTCCTTTACAATAGTTAAAGAAGCTTAGCTAGATAATCTACACTATATTAGTAAGAAATACTCTACTTAACTATAAAAATAAACACCTAAGGGCTGCCCTAGCTAATAAGAAGAAGCGTAGGAAGCGTAGTAAACCTCTATTATTACCCCCTAATAATAATTATAGTAGTAGTGCCTAATTTATTTTACTATTAAAGGTAGAGCAAGTATTTAAGCTCTAGGAGTAAAAGAACCTTAAAGAATAGGAGCTATAATACTAAAAAAGTAAGGTAATTAAGCTTTATAAGTAATAGAAGCTTACTAAAGCTTAACTTATAAAAGAGTGTTACCTAAATTAAGTAATTACTAAGAAGGAGTAGGAGGAGAAAGCTACCTAAAAAGCTACTACACGTAATAAGTAGAAAACTACTAAGTAACTAGAAAAGTAACTCTAAAATAATATTAAAACGTCCTAAATAGGTAAGAGGCAAATCCTTAAGCCTCCTACTATTATACTAGCTAAGGTGGTTAATAAGGAGCTAGTAGAAGAGGATATAGTAGTAGAGGCAACTTTACGCTATAGGCGCCTAATTAGACCCCCTAAAAAGCTGCTTACATAATCTAAAATATTTAATCTACTCTAATAGATCTAATAATCGCGACTCTAAGAAATCTCGTGATAATAGCTATTGTGGGTGGCGCAATATCCTCATTTAGTGGGTGGTGGATTTTGGTGTTGGTGGGCGCTCGGTGGGGGTGGGCGCTCGGTGGTGGATCACGTTATACCTACCGTACCAGTACTCGTCGCTGTTGTCGCTGCCGCTGCCCTGTGCGACACCCATCTCGTGACAAGTTGCGCATCTGCAGGCGTGCGAGCTGCATGTGGTAGCATTACCGGTACCTACCTGCTTGCATTACCGCATCATCGACTGCGCTGTCTCCTGGCTTGCTCCCACGCCCGCGCCGAATGCCTCTTCCACCATAGCTGGCCAGCATCTCCTGCTGCTCGCCCGCTTTCTTTCCCCTTCAGTCTGCCCGCTCAGTCCCTCCCCGCCACCCGTCCCCCTCCTCGCGCCGCTCGCCGCCAACATGCGCCCGCTCCGTCTGCTCGTCGCGTTGTCAACGAGCCTGATAGCCGTCACGCTGCTCTTCTACGCCGCGCTGGGCCCCCCGCACGACCAACAAGAAGCCGAACAGGCCACTGGCTCGCAGGGCCACATCAAGGCCTTGTTCTCCTTCACCTCCCCCACCTCGCTGTTTCCCCCCTCGGCCATCATCAGCCTGACCGACGACAACTCGACCTTTTTCCTCGCCCGTCCCGCCGCATTTGGCCCCCTTCTCCCCAAGAATGGCCTAAGCGGCCCCCTATGGATTGGCAGCGGCTTCGGAGATGATACCCTGGGCTGGACGGGCGAGCTGGGCTGCGGTGACGATCCTGGCTGGGACCAGGGAAGCCAAAGTCTGCTGGCCTCTTCCCATTCACCGGCACAGGCCGGGAGCCATGCGACAAAGTCTACACCGCGCGAGGAGGTATCAGGTCGCGGACATGCCGACATCCAGTCGATCCAGGAAAGCGCCGAGATTGCAGGCAAGGTCGTCTTGCTCAAGCGCGGCGGCTGCGGCTTCCTTGCCAAGGTGCAGTGGGCACAGAGACGCGGAGGAGTTGCCGTCATCGTGGGCGACGATGTTCGTGGAGGCGCTCTGGTGCGCATGTACGCCAAAGGGGACACCTCTAATATCACGATCCCCTCTTTGTTCACTTCACACACTACCGCCCACTTACTCTCCTCCTTACTGCCTCCCCAGCGCAATGTGCATAATGCCGCGCTAAGCAATACGGCCTATACCAAACCCTCTAACCCACACCATGACCTGGGCCATGGCAGTGGTGATCAAGCCCAGGGGGGCCGATGGCGTCGTCCCACCTCGACTAAGCCAAAGTCTCAGGCCACCCTCGCTTCATCTCATACCCTGTCCGAGACGGTAGGATCAACTGCAAAAGCTTCACAGAGTAAATCGGAGGCTGATGGCCTGTTTCGCTCTCTCCTCTCCGCCCTGGGATTGCACAATGGACAAGGCAAGCTTCCGAAAGCTGGTAGTCGAAGAATACCAGGCAGTGGCGACCTTGACTGGATCAACCCCACCGACTGGGACAATGATGAAGATCCCATCAAGACAGGAACTGCAATCCCAATGGCAACAGCCCCCAGGATCTCGGATGGCTTCGTCATTGGCAAGCAAGACTGGCGGGATCCGGACCTCTTGTCATCCCCAGCCGCCGCTGATGCCTCAGCTTCCGTGGTTCAATCTGCTGCTTCGCCTTTACAGACTTCAGCCAACGTCTTTCCAGGGAGTGGTGAATACCGTCGGGTGGATAGGAAGAAAAACAAACCATCTTGGTGGAGAAGATTGTCAAGCCCCAATCAACCCACTCAACCTGACGAATCATCTGCCCGTGCAGAAGTCAGGAGTGTTACATCCATATCTGGAGCTGACTTGGAACTCGACACCACATCCTCGCGTACGGCACTATTACATGAAGGTCTATGGGTAACTTTGACACCGACAAATGTCTCGACCAGTCCTTTCTTCGATACCCTTCTTGTCTTGGTTGTGAGTCCCTTGGTCACCCTGACCGTTGTATATGCGCTACTGCTCTTGCGGTCTCGCATAAGACGCCGACGTTGGCGGGCACCCAAGTCCGTGGTCGAGCGCCTTCCTGTGAGGACCTACCAAACTATTAGCGAACCATCGGCTTCTCCTACGCCAGAGGCATCCTCTCCTACGACACCGCTTCTCCAACGCTCTCCGGAGCAACCGCCTTTGCGATCCCATTCTAGTTCCGAGCTGCCAGGTACCTCGTCTGCTATTCAACATGGGTCTCCGGATCGAGCGGAAGAGAAGCGCGAAACAGGTCTAGCAGCCTGGAGGCGTCGATACGGAGGTCGGCAAAAAGAATGCGTCGTGTGTTTGGAAGAATATGAGGACGGTGTCAGTCAGGTCATGAGTCTGCCTTGTGGTCATGAATTCCATGCGAACTGCATGTGGGTCGTTTCGTCCTAGATAATGATCATCAACTAACAATATCCAGAACACCCTGGCTTGTTACACGTCGGCGAACGTGTCCCATATGCAAAGGCGATGTCGTGCGCTCTTTATCACAGTCCTACCATGATCGCTTGCAACCATCCTCAACACAATCGCCTGAATCATTCAATGATCTAGACGATCTCCAGGCCCAAGCAATACGGACCCGCAATGACTCTCCTTCGGCCTCAAGGCCTGTTCCAATTTCTACCTCGGCTCTAGGCATGTATGCGCCAGTTCACGATGATGTCGAGACGGGCTGGACTCGCAGTGGCACGAGCCGCGAGCCACAAGATGTGCCGGCCAATCCTTATCGCGAACTAAGCTCGACTGTTTCTACTGTTATATGGCGAGGTTTGGACGCCGTCAGAGCCTCTACGGGCCTTCAGCGGAGGCAGCCGCCCGACGATGTTGACAGAGATCGATGATGGTTATATTGACTGTACATTTTACGCAGAGGCTTTTTGGTATACCCCCGGTTGGAACATACGGCGTTTACATGAGATGAGCGATTTGCCTGTGGCTGATGTCACATCTTCACTGGGAGTAAGCCATTAGGCCTTCCACTGGCCCCATGATAGATATCCAAACAACGTGCTCTCTAGAGATCATGTGCTCATTTTAGAAAGTGTTGCGGCCTGGGGCATTGATATGGTTTGATTCATGTCGTGGACGCAAGACGTCAAGTCAACTGCAGTCGTCTATGACAATACTCTGTTGGACAATGTTCCTACTCCCGCCTTATGCACCCAATAACACTTGAACATATCATTCCTGCAAACAGCAATCGGTGAGTTCACTAGTCGAAGTGCTGCAAATGAGCATTGATCTTTAGCCGATTCGTTTCGTGGGTTGCACCTTCTAGCATTCTTCGAGATGGTGCAGTGTGACTCGATACTTGGTCGGGCTACGGGAGCAATTTAGCTTGCTTCTATCGAACTAGTGGTAGAAGACCTCTGAAAAGTTTTGTCCCGGCAAGTGGTGACCGAATATCTATAGTTCGTTATCATCCTGGTTTCATGCGAGGGATGCATGGCATACATCGTGCAACGCCTTACCAACCGAGTTATGATGCTTTTAAGGAAGAAATTACGCCCTCACCCTGATTTTCGGATCAAGTGACAGTCATCATAACAGAAAATTTTGTCTTTTAGATCTAGATAATGAAGATAAAATAGTGCACCGCTCGAACATGTCCATGGCAGTGCAAGGTGTCAACATGTCAAAAGACAAAGAAGAGGAGTACCCCTTCCCTCCTTTCGTTTTTGGCACACAGTCGTGTAAAGGTCACGTTGTTGTGCAGGAATTCTAGTTTAAACTAGAGATGCTCGAGGAGGGTTCCCCGGCTTCATCAATGTACGGGTTGTCAAACACTAAAGTCGGAACCATGCATTCCTGACTCCCATCTACTAAAGCAACCACAAATCTGGGTGACGTCCAAATGTCAATCACCAATGTGCCTCCCTTGCGATCTCCTCCTCCTGAAGAATGCTTCAACCTGGGTCTGTGCGCAATGATATCTGGGTGCCGGCCGCTACATCTCAACCTCATGGGGATACAGGTAGAGTTTAGATATCGTGTCTGTGTAACCATAATAGAGGGCGTACATGACATAGTAAATCATGCGTACCTATGAAAAGAGCTGGGTAACATCTTGGCATAATGTATATATGTAAAGCCAAGATAGTGTGACCATCACTTCTCAGAATCTACTTTCGGCCCGGTCCTGAAGACTAATCTTGATTCAATCTATCAAGATCATCTTCCTCGATACCTAAACAAATAACCCTCATCCCACTGCAATGAAGACGTACTTGCTACTCTGTCTCGCGTTGGGCACTCTGGGCCTAGCCCAGACTGTGAACAACACGTGCGGATGCCCCCTAGTATCATGTTTAACAAAGGACCCCATGGTAGGTCATTAAACCGTTGGACATGGCAATTTAATGAAGCTGGTTTGATGATTTCGCAGAAACTATGTCGCTGCATCAATGGACGGGAACTGAGGTGCAAACTACTATGCCCGAGATATCTTCCTACCTTCGTTGTACGTTGAACCAATTTCCAAGAGTACTACTGCATGCTGACATTGTACAAAAAAGGCTTGCCTGCCAACAATACTACCAGCAATACCTCCAAAACCGAGCACAGTTTCCCCGGCTCCATCGTGTGTCTGTGAAGAAGTGATATGCGCTCAATCTTTTCCCGAGTCATGCCTCTGTGCCAACCGAGCAGCCCAGAGCTGCTATGCGAAGTGCGGTGGCCCCCAGCCCATGATGAAATCATGTACCGCAGGTGCACTCGTTGCGCGTGAGGTGGAGCCAGAAGCTTCATCTGACCCCGAACAAGTGCCTGAACTGGCCAAAGAGTGTACATGTGAAGAGACAATGTGCATACAGATGTGGCCGGACTCATGCTGGTGTGCGAATGCGGCAGCGCAGCAGTGCTACAAGAAGTGTGGCGGCAGGAAACCGGTTCTCCAGGTGCGCTTTTGTTATCAGTGAAGAGATCTAGTCCCAACTAATACCTCGTAGAGCTGCCCGCCGCAACCAGTTGATACGCCGACGATACAAGTACCAAATTCGACCACTTCATCTACGCCTACAACCTTGCCCAAGCCAATCAATACGCACAAAATATGTGGAGGTGGACGAGCAAATATTTTATTATGCGATCCTGGAGAGACGTGCATCACTGACCCATATACGGGTGGGTGTGGGCCTGCCTGTGACGCATTAGGTATCTGCGTAAAGGACAAGATGTGTGGTGGCTTTACAGGGCTTGCATGCGATGAGGAAGGTCAAGTGTGCCATGATGATCCGCGAGACGATTGTGACCCACTGAACGGTGGCTCAGACTGTGGAGGGTTGTGTGTTTGGCCACACAGATCGCTAGATCCAAACCATGTGAAGACAAGGCGCACAAGTACCGGTAAACGACATCTGTAGAACGCGATCTAATCGCAGGCACAAATGTTTGGGACCAGTACACACAGTGCTTGTCAGACACATCTTTTCTGCTCAGGCAGATAAAAATCTTGGCAGTGATCAAGATCTGCGGCTGGACTGTAGGCACAAACCTTAGTGAGTGCACATGGCTAGTTTTTTATAATAGATTGCAGTTAGCGTCGCCGAAGCCTCGCAGTGCTTGACTTCTAATGTGACGGTCTGCTTCCGTGTGATAGGTAGTTACTATTAGGCACTGCCTTTCTAACGTACTGACACCTGCAAAGGCATGCGGCTGTATCAAACCCAACCCAGAAAACCAGGCCGACAAACGCATCACATTTTTTTCTGATCAAGAAGATAAATTGTCGGGTTGAACATGACCAGAGAATGCATGAGTCTTTCATTGCGATTTCGCCCTGCTGTGTCCGATGTCCAGTGCCGAGCTGACACAGCTGTTTTTGCATGGTCTACCGGAATGATCAATGCTACCCATGCACGTTGTCATCGGCAGCAAAATAGTCGGCGGTTCTTTGCATTCTACAAGGCTGTGACTGACAGCAAGTAGCATTGAAAGGTGGATCCTTGGACCGTCTTACAAGCTCGAGAATAACCAGCTTCTTGTAGGAATACGACGTCAATGGTTCTTTGAGTGCCATGATTACCTTATGCAGTAAAGAAGAATCTTGTAAGAAAGAAAATCGATATTAAAGCCATTGATCTAGAGCCTCACACATATCAACTTGCACGACGAAGCTTTTGGAGAGGATGAATGTGAAGATTAAGATGATGTAGATAGGTACCGGTAAGGACAGGGACGTGTTCTGAGCGCATCGAATGGGTATCCACAGCCGTAGTCTACCGGTATTCGCACAACGTAACCATGTCCATAGATATGTTGGCAGGGGCATCAACTTTCCGAAGAGCGTCCAGAAGATAGCATCACTCCGCCACTGCCAAGGTCTCGGCCTTTGCAGAATGTAGACTGGCGAATGGGAAGCGGATAGGTGGTCAACACTGCCATACGGTAGACATTGGCAATTCCTTGTCGAGTCAAGGTCAACGGACTATCAGATCAGTAGTGTCGCATAGCTCAGCTTGAGGCTTTATGTCCTGAGAGCAATTGATACGCGTCGCACTCTAGAGAAAAATACCCCTTTAGGCTAGGGATGGGTTATATAGGACAGAGTAACTTGAAGGCAACCGCACAGAGACTTCAGATGTGAACTTCAGCACCAACCTCTCACTGCCTCATTTCAACTTTAAAGCTCGAGAAGCATCCGACATGCGCCCTTGTGCAGTCTTCAATCTTGCAACTGAGTACTTAGGCTTCAAGATCTTTGTCACTTTTTGTATTCTCCTACTCTCAGCACAACTTTACTTGATCCCCCATTCGCGGACAGACAATCCAAATCATAGCACTATCGGTACAAAACAATCACATCGAGTATCCAGCTTTGTCTCGCACGGTGACACGCAATGCCTGCCCGAGATTAGCCACCAACTTATTCATGATTCCACTACGAAGCATGTGGTGTGCAGGAAGCATTCCCCTTTTACGACACGACGAATGCGCATTGGTTTAGCTACTGCGCACTTTGGAGAACAGCAGAATCATTACCAGAACGCGTTGGAGTCGCATCTTCTCCATAGTCTGATTTATGGCACTGAGGTTCATGTCATGTGCGATCCGATCGTGGATGACCTTTGGAATAAACCTGCCTTCCTCCTCGACCTGCTTATGGATGAAATGATAAAGCCAGAGTCCAAGCGGCTAGAATGGATAATGTGGGTTGACCGCGACACTTTGATCTTGGACCAGTGCCGTCCAATATCGAGCTTCTTGCCTCCGGATCTCCCAGGCCTTGGTGGACGGTGGAACCGCTCAAAAGATTCCAATAAGAACAAGAGAAACACAACAAACCTTCTTGTCAACAACGACCTGAATGGCTTGAACAATGGCGTTTTCTTGCTTCGGGTGTGCAGGTGGGCTGTCGAACTTTTCACTGCCATCCTTGCATTCCGCCATTACAATCCAGGCGTCCAACTAACGTTTACTGAGCAAAGCGCTATGGAGATAGTCATCAACAGGCAGGACTTTAAGGACCAAGTACAATTCGTGCCGCAGTATTGGTTCAATGGCTACTCAAACGGCAGTCCTCAACAATTCAAGGACCGTAAAGATGATGACGGGCTAAGAGAAGAAGATGTGAGACGTGGCGACTATCTGGTGCATTTCGCAGGTGTTGAGAAAAAGGATGAGGTAATTAGTGGTTGGGTGAGTGTTCTAAGGGAACTTCCTGATATATGGGAGTCTAGAACTATACAGAGAGATATTTCCATTAAAATTGAAGAATTTTGGGAACAGCTAGGATATTAGATACTATAAGCTAGGATATGTATAGGAGTAGTAGAGTAGAGGTCTAGTTATATAAACTCCTTATAGTAGTACTAGCATAGATAGTACCTATTGCAGGAAGGATACCAACCGGATCACGGAGCATCTTGATCTAATTAACCAATCTAAACCCTAATTAATATCCTTGATCTATACCCTAGTTTATCTACTATCTAATCCACTACTAGCTTACTTGCTAGCTTACTGCTAAGTGCTAATATAGAAAAAGGAGCTCTAGTAAGGAAGATTTACTAATTATACACCTTCTAGTAGGGGTAGCTAAAGTTCTATTTATATAAGTCCTATTATAGTAGATATAATCTAATAATCTATCTCCTAAATTATTCCTAAGCATAGAAATCTAAATTTCTATATTACCCTATTCTTTACTCTATGTAATAGTTAGCCTTTACGCATATAAAGTATTAAGATAGATGCTTAAATCTTGTAGGGGAGAGGGGAGGGTAGGGGGATTTACTAGTAATTTATAAAGGTTAAGATATTGCTAGCTAGTCTTAAATATAAAGGGTTATATTATATTTATAAATAGTATATAGTAACTATATTTATATAAATAGTATAGTAGACTATTTATTATATCTAAGGTAAGGTATAATGTATAATAAGTATACACCTTATTCTATCTTAGACTAGGAGTATCTAAAGGTCACCGTATAGATAATATTGCCCTAACATAGGTCTAAGTATCTTAGCCTAGTACTCTACCTGTAACAATAGTGCAGAATTGTTTGCCTATTATTCTATACTAAGTTAGCCCTAATAAAGGCCTAACTTGTTAATATATATAGAGAGTAGCTTACCTATATTAGGATAGGTATATTCTTCTTATCCTTTTATATAAGACCTATAAGTGTAGGAATATTATCCTTTTCTATATAGACACGCACTCCTATATGCCTTTAAGTTGTATAGGATACCTTTTAGATGCCTTACCTACCTGCGTTGTTACACTAATAGTGCTTAGGCAACTCTAATTATTCTATTAGGAATAAGGACCTATTTTCTTAAAGAAGAGTGTTAATAAGCTCTAGGGATGTAAGAGGTATTAGGTTCTAAATTACTATAATTAAGGCAAGGATTAGTAAGGAACGCTTAGCTAGGTAGTCTTGCGCCAAGTTAGAGTTAATTTAGGGGTGTAACCTATCTAGGGCAATTATTACTTATAAGCAATTATCCCTTTAAGTAGTCTTAAGATTAATTAAACCCTATTCCCTTCTACTTAGGATATTAGCTTAGGCGTTATAGGATCTAGGAGTTTACTTTATTTAGAAGTTAAAGGGACTTATAACCTCTAGCTATCTAGCTTGCCTAGCACTAAGGACTTTAGTAGGTATAAAGTACTCTAGTGCTTAGTAGTCTGTGTATACTCTAATAAGGTGCTAAGTACTTATTAGGTTATCACGCTATTTCTTAAAGGCGCAGATTATTATAAACAATTCTTTGTTATAGATTTCTGTAACAATAAGGCAGAATTGCCTGCCTATTGTTCTATGCTAAGTCAGGCCTAATAAAGGCCTGACTTACTAATATATATAGAGAACAGCTCGCCTATAGTTAGGATAGGCATGTTCTTCTTGTCCTTTTGTATAAGACCTATAGGTGTAGGAATCTTATCCTTTTCTATATAGACGCGCACTCCTATATATCTTTAAGTTATATAGAATACCTTTTAGATACCCTAACTACCTAAGTTATTATATTATAAGAAGAATATTATCCTAGCTAGTAATAGTATTTAAGAATATCGCACTTGTTATTATTTTAAGCTACTAATTTAGTTCTAGTAGCTATCTAACCCTATAACTCTATAGTTAGAATAGCTATTAGAACTTCTAATAACTAAAGCCTATAGGCTTAGACTTCTAGACCTATAGGTAGTGCTAGATTACCTTTAGAAAAATCGCGTTAGATTGCGTTAAGGTAGAGACCTAGAGACTACTAAAAGCCTAGAGGAATTAGAGGCAAAGCTAATATCCTTCTATAACTAACCCCCTAAAGAATAGATTTATTATTCTTATTAACTACTAAATATTAGATAAAGGTAAAGGAAGGGTATCTAGTTTAGCTATATTTAAAAGCCTATTTATAGATAGAAAGAAATTAGATAAGGAGTGTGAAGGGCTTGGGCTTATGCCTAAGCCTAGGTCTAACACAAGACGGACCAAGTCTAACACCACTACTAAGCGAACACACTAGACACCTATAAAAAGGCGTAGAGGGCTTATCTCTCCTTTAAGATACTAAATACTATTATTAACGCTTATTATATTCTCCCTTAAGGCTAGTCTATAATATTTTAGTATCTTCTTCTAAACATACTATAATAGTAATAAGAGATAGACGCGCTAGATATTTAGAATAACTAGGTGCAACCTAATATAGTAGAAAGGCTAATATAACAGGTCTATAGATTAATAGAATAATAGGCTTAAGACTCTGCTATAATAGCTATACTACGTTAATAGAATAAGGAAATACGTAATTAGATTCTATCCTAACCCTCCTCTAAGCCCGCTAGGTTTAATAACATGCTGCCTCCACCCTCCCCTACCTTATATTACAAACCCTTCCTAGTTAGCTTGCTATATAATAGCACTAAGGTAAACTTCTCCTCCTAGTAAATAACTATAGAGTTTAAACTGCGTGTAGATAAGGTCTTTATTAGGGATAAGGAGGCAAGATTTATATATATTTAGTCCTAGCTATTACCTATAGTCTAGCGCGCTATAGCACTATACTTTAAGGATAGTGCATATAAGTATTAGGATATAAGCAGGTTTCTTAACTACCTAGCGTTCTATTATAGTAACTATTATAGGCAGGAGCGCGCCTAAGTTATATTAGAACACTTATATTAGGGCTAAAATTAGCCTTTTATAGAGTTCTTTATAAATTTTATATAGCTTCTTATATAGTTAGGAGGTTTACACTATAATAATAAATAGAAGCTTTTATAACTTTAGTAATCTCTTAATAGCTATATATACTTAGTTTCCCTTAATAGGGGAGTCTCTAGGATAAACTATAATATAGCTATAGAGGAATATAAGACAATTATAGTAGATATTAAAATAGCCTCTCTAGAACTAGGTTTTCTTTAGGTTAGGAAGTCTAAGGAACCCTAGTAGAAGTCTACCTTAGATTAGGACAGCAATATAAATATAGTAGAAGTAGCAGCCTTATTAAGTGAACCTACTAAACTGCTAATATTATATCCTAACTAGATCCTACAGGACCTATTTAATATATAGAAACTAGTAAAGGTCTGCACCTAGTATAGATAGGGTAGTTATTTTATATATGCATGTCCTAATACCCTATTACTATAACTAGTAGGTGTTAAGATAGTTGCAGTATTAGCAAGCGGCCCTAATTTAGGAAACTAGCTACCCCTAACCCTAGGCTAAGTTAGGGGTATAAGGAGG